AAAAAGAAAAAAAAAAAAAAGACAATGTTGTGATACTGAGTCTGCTTAAAATGAACTGTGTGTAAAAAGAAAAAAAAAAAACAACCCATGAATTATATGTACAATTCTCCTAAAACACAATGTTATGGAAAATAAAATTCATATATCATGCTTTGTTGGACGTCATTGATGTGTTGTTATTTTTTTTAAATCGGCATATTTTAGAAAAGACTTACTTTTGTTGCTTCCCAGCACTTTGTTCCATATAATATTTCAGCATGCAGCTAAAAAGGTTTCTTAAAAGCCTGAATTGACTAAAAAATGACTCATCTCTGTGTAGATGTGTGATTATGAACTTTTTAAGGGTCATTTTTCTTTTGATGAGACATCCTCTTACTCTCCTAAGGTTTAGAATTATGACTGACCTGGGGCTGGAAAGCTTTTGCCAGCTTGTGGTGCATACTTTTGAACTCCCTGAACTCCCTGCCATTAGACTATGCTGCTTTGCACTCACACTGAATGTTAGACTGGAAAAGGTGAAGATCTAAATTTGGGGGACTGCAAAGTTGCTTCACATTGCCACAGAGAGATAAAAACGTTAAAAATGTTATACTTAATCAGAATCAGAAAGACTTTATTTATATCCAAGGGGCAATTAAGAGTTAAGTCAATTCATCAAACTTATATTTAGACTCTTGAGCTCTCAATTAAATCACTTTAATTGAATAAACACAGATTTTTTTTACATAGCTGTGCAGAGTAAATATAAGTGGAAAGAACTGTCTAACAGAGTGGCTGTTAGTCAAGTCAAAGCAGATTAGATTGCAACAGACCGTGGGATGAGTAGCTGGAGGTGATTCAGCACCGGAGGCAAAGATTACGATTAAGAAATGAGGGTGTGGTTTAGAGAAACTTCTCCTTGCTCATGATGAATAATTGCAGGCGCTGATATCCAGATGGTAGTCTACTCACTCTCATTATCAAACGCAGTGCACACATCACTACTATAATGGGATATTAGTGGAAAAAGACAAATCAGCTGCTCCAATAGAAGCTACACAGCATGTAATATCATCTCATAAAACACTCTCTCCACATGAAATACTTTGTAAATTCAACATGATAATTTCTGGGGATATGATGTGATGAGATTTCAAAACTTAACTAGGTGAAACTTAAGTGTACATAATACTCTACAGACAGAAACTTGGCCCTTTATAACAGCAACCTACTGATTAGGTAGGCTGGTTTTATATCAATGTGATTAATATGACACGTGTAATTATTGTGTTCCCCTTTACTGTAATTATTACCATAGTCCACCCTCCTCAGCTCAGAAAAGATATATCCTCCTCAGTATTTGTTGTTAAGTGGCTACAGTGAATATCAAAAGTTCAAAAGATCAGCAAAGACTTTAAAGTCATATTTAAAGCTGACGTCTCTGCCTGCTGTAGACCAAAGCTCACTGAATGCAATTGCCTTCAGTAATTCTGATTAACATTTAATGTGTAAAGGGGGACTTTGATTGCATCTAATGCATGGATTAACAAAGATAATCCATGCATTAGATTAATCCATGTATTCATTTTAGTCAGAAACAACAATATGCAATTTCATTTGATTTTAAAACTCCTAAGCTTTAAAATTAAATGAAATTAGAGAGCACTGTTTTCTGAAATTACATATCATCATCACAGATTAGGTATGCAAATATGAGGTAAACACTGTGTGGCCGGAGCTTTATGTAGAATGCTTGATTTACTTTTAATTGAAGAGGGTTTCTTGGGCAATCTTTTGTATTGGCAACACATATATGTAGAGTAAAAAGGGAGCAAAATGCCACAATTCTGAGATTTAGAAAACATGTGCTCTAAAACTGTGTGCCCTTTTAACACAAGGACCCTTTCACATTTAAGACAGAAACAGCATGCCAGATACTCTCCTGTTGAGAAGAACTCAGCAGGTTTTAAAAAAAGAAACATCAAAGCACTCGTGGTTTTTCATCATCTGTAATAATACATTTATATATACTGATGAAACGGACTTTTATGTCTTGAAAACAGTATTATGCCATAATTCTTGATTTTCTGTGATTAAGTATAAATGTGTTAGCACCTTAAGGGAAACCTTGACCTTAAAAGAACTTGCTGCACATCACTTCAGATTAGTCTTCTTTTTTTTTTTTTTTTTAAGGTGAAAGTATGATATATATTTTTTTTTTCCAGCTTGTTTAAGCTTTTTAGTCAGGTCATATGAGGATTACTTAAAATCAAATATTCTAAGCTAAGCCTTCATGTTTCATATTACACCACTGCATTGGGACTGTATTCACATAGCTGCCATTTTATAACGTGCTTTATAACAAAATGCTAAAAACAAAGTTTCCTTTCCAAAAGAGATAACAGCATCAGTGCAACTGAATTAGCAATGGCGTGACAGCTAATTACTTTGAAGAATTAGCCACAAGCCAGACAGAGCCATTATGAACAACCTGCAGTCATTCCAAGGAAGCTCTGTTAACACAAGTGAAGAATGAATGAAAAGGCACAAATAACAATTTCCAATACAGAGTGTGACACAATGGAATTTATCTTGGCAATATTTAATAAATAAAGCGTGAGATTTAACATGAGCATGCAAAGTAAAGGCTGGGTCAAAATCACCTCAAGGTTCCTAATAAGACTGACTGTCATGGTCTCCATGCCTGCCCGGCCGGCCCCACAAGGCTACATGTGTTTTTTTGGTTCTCTCTCTCTCTCTCTCTCTCTCTCTCTCTCTCTGCCTGGGCGGAGCTCACTGTGGGCTCCCGCCCTTGGCCCACACACCTGTCAACAATCAGCGGTCATCACCTGGAGCACTATTTGAAGCTGGAACACAGATCCTGTCGTCGCTGGATGATTGTACTACAGACGTTAGTGTTTCTCACAGCTCCTGTGAACCTGTGATTCGTGATTTGTGTGTGACTTCCCTCTCTTCTGCGACAGACTTTTCTCCCCGTACCTGTGACCCCCCCCCCAGTCGTGTGAACGTGTGTGAGTTTGGGCAAGGAGACGCGAGCGGGTGTGAGAGAGCTTCCCCGTGATTCCCTGGAGTTTGGATTCCCCTTCACTGTGTATATCGTGCACTGGTGCTGTAAATAAACTGTTTTTTGGAGACGCCTACCGCTCTGCGCTTGAGTTCCTACTACCAGATTGTGACAGAATCATCCAGCCACGGAAATGGACTCAGCAGATTCGCCACTTTGGCTGCGATGCTGGAGCGTCATGAGCAAATGTTTGTTCACCTTCGAGCAGAGCTCACAAACATCACTCAGGCCGTGGCCCGGTTAACACCGCTACCGACAGCTCCACCTGTCGCCGATCCTCCGCCAGAGGCGCCAGCTCCAGCAGTAAGTGCCACACCACCTGCTCCCTCACCTGTTCACTATGACAGATTTCTTCCTACACCAAAAGCTTTCACTGGAGAAATTGATAAATGCGCTGTTTTCCTTACTCAATGTGCCCTTCAGTTTCGCCAGCAACCGCAAGGCTTTTCTACTGATGGTGCGAAAATTGCTTATATTGTCCAGTTACTCCAAGATCGTGCTCTGACCTGGGTACAAGCTGTGCTTCAAGCAGATCCGGACATCACTTTTACTGACTTTCTTGTTAAGTTTAAAGGTGTGTTTGACAGAAAGGCCACAGCTGCCACCGCCGGCCAGCGCTTGCTCGCGCTCAAACAAAGTAAACGAAGCATGGCTGATTTTTCTATTGATTTTTCTACTTTGGCCGAACAGACGGAATGGGGGGAAGAGGCCCTTAAGAGTGCGTTAATGAGGAAATACAGAATGAACTGATGCTTCGTGAACTACCTTCCTTCCTAGATGAGCTTTTGGCTCTGTGTATTCGGGTGGACGACCAAGTGCGCGTACTCCGGAGCGCACGCACACGTTCGGGGCATGAACCGCTGGATTTTTGTGGGACCTCTACTGAAGCCCGTGGGCCGCGTGACGCCGATACCCGGGATGAGGAAGAACCCATGCAGCTTGGGCGCTCACAGCTGTCGCCCGCGGAGCGCCAGGGCCGGTGAGTGCGTTTATTGCAGCCGTAAAGGCCACTCTGTCTCTTCCTGCCCGACACTTGCAAAAGGGCGTGCTCACCAGTGATCGAGAGGGTGCTGGTGGGCGATGTGTCGAGTGAAAGCCCTCTCCCCAGACTTCTCTTACCAGCTAAACTATGCGTTCAGACTCTCTCTCTGTGCTCATTGACTCTGGGGCTGAGCAGAACTTTATTGACACCTCGCTCGCCGCCAAACTAAACATCGCGTTGGAGCCTCTGTCACGCCCTCTCCGTGTTCACGCACTATCAGGTCAGCGCCTGCACAACATCACTCATGTTTCTGAATTCCTTTCATTATCCCTCTCAGGCAATCACACAGAAAGGATTTGGGTTTTTTTTTGTTTGTTTGTTTAAAGCTCCTCTCACTCCGCTGGTTCTGGGTCACCCCTGTCTTGTTCTCCACAACCCACATATTGACTGGGAGAAAGGTGACATACTGGGTTGGAGCGTGAACTGCCACATAAACTGGCTCCGGGCTGCGGCTTCACCCGTTCCGCTTCCGCCCACGGCCTTGCCGTCCGACGCCCCGGACCTCTCAATGGTTCCGCGGGTTTATCATGATCTGCGGGATGTTTTTTGTAAGGATCGTGCGCGGTCCCTTCCCCCCCACCGCCTGTACGATTGTGCCATCAATCTTCTTCCTGGAGCTCCGCTGCTGTCTAGCCGCCTGTACAGCATCTCCCAGCTCGAGAGGGATGCTATGGAACGTTACATAATGGAGTCGCTAGCGGCGGGATTGATTCGCCCCTCCTCTTCCCCTGTCTCGGCTGGGGGTTGTGGATAAGAAGGATGGTTCGCTGCGGCTGTGTATTGACTATCGGGGCCTTAACCAGATCACTATTAAAAACAAGTACCCTTTGCCGATGCTTTCCTCAGCCTTTGAACTGCTTCAGGGCGTGACTAT